CTTGCCCTTCTGACCTTCTGTCCTTGTGCCCTTGTCCTCTAGACTTTTCTGCTCTTTTCCTTAACCTTTGTGCCTTGCCATCAAGCTTTGGCTTGCCCTTTGTGGTCCCCCATTTTCTGTCTTGCTGACTCTCTATCTCTCTCCCTCCTACTCTGTCCCCTCCTTCCTGTTCAGGGCCCTCTTGCCTGGGTTCCAGTGGCCTTTCCCTACAGTTCCTCTTTATTCATAGAATAAAAAGGGTTATAGAAAGAAGCGTCCCCATCTGGTCTGGTGCCCTCATTTGACAGAGGAGGCAACTAAGGCACAGAAAGGGAAGTAACTCACCTAAGGCCAGTGTGGCAGACAGGACTAGCACCCAGGCCTCCCACCTACCTAGCATACACCTGCCTCTCTCCTCCCTTGGGCTCTGCCCGCCCATCCCCTGCCCCGGGTCCAGATGGGTTTCCTCCCCAGGTCCCTCTCACCCACACTCACCCCCCCGGCTCCCGCTGCTTTCCCTTCTCCTGCCTACCCTCCATGCCCAGCCAGTGGCCAGGCCCTGAATGCCCCTGCTCTCCCTTCCAACAGTGCCTGAGGCTCCAGTCATCGACACCCAGCGCACCTTTGCCTATGACCAGATCTTCCTGTGCTGGAGGCTGCCTCCCCACTCGCCACCTGCCTGGCACTACACCATCGAGTTCCGGCGCACAGATGTGCCTGCCCAGCCGGGCCCCACCCGCTGGCAGCGGCGCGAGGAGGTGAGGGGCACCAGCGCCTTGCTGGAGAACCCTGACACAGGCTCTGTATACGTGCTGCGTGTCCGTGGCTGCAACAAAGCGGGCTATGGCGAGTACAGTGAAGATGTGCACCTGCACACGCCCCCAGCGCCCGGTGAGTGGGCGGATGGGTGGGCACAGGGTGGCATGGAATGGGGCAGGGTACTCTGGGACCCAGGCACTAACAGCTGGGGCTGGCTGAGCACTGGAGAGACAGTACAATGCAGTGGATCACACTAATTCTGAAGCTGGACCTCCTCGGGTCAAATCCCAGCACTGCCTCTTGCCAACTGTGTGGTTACAGGCAAGTTATTCACCCACTCTGAACTTCAAGTTCCTCTTCTGGAGAGGCATTTACAATACCTCAAAGGGCTGTTGTTGGAGTTAATTGAATTGATGATACACGTCAAGTCTTAGCCGAGTTTGCACCTCAAATAAAGGCTCAATAAATGAGAGTAAAGGGACTCCCCAGAAAGTAGTGCAGACCCTGGGATTCAGGCAGAACAAAGGAGCATCACCCCCCAGAGGGCGCAGAGACGTGTGGGTTGAGTGTAAGGACCAGATGTGACCGCCAGAGTGTGGGCTGGACCGTGTGGGCAGGCGGTGGTGGGCGGGAGTCACCACAGGGAAGGGAGCAGGGGACTTGTCCATGGGGCCAGCCACGAGGGGCGGTGGAGGAAGTACTGTGAGTCACCTGGGCCTGGAAGGCTGGTTTCTGTGGCCACTGGTCATCACTAAACTCTTCCTGGGGCCCGTGTCCATCTGGAACACCCCCTCTTTTTTCCTTACCCGCCTTGCTCCCGCTCTCCAGGTCCTGTTCCTGAAGCCTCCTGCCTGTCCTGCAGCAGCTGGTGCCTTGTTCTGAGGTCTCCCAGTATCTTGTGCTAAAGCCGCACAGTCCCCAATGCCAGTATTTGGCCCTGAAGGCCTTCCTTTTGTCTCCGCCCTCCCCCACTCCAGTCCTTCACTTCTTCCTGGATGGCCGCTGGGGCAGCAGCCGAGAGAGGCTGGCCATCAGCAAGGACCAGCGAGCCGTGCGGAGCGTTCCAGGGCTGCCCCTGCTCTTGGCTGCTGAGCGGCTGCTCACTGGCTGCCACCTGAGTGTGGATGTGGTCCTGGGTGACGTAGCCGTGACGCAGGGCCGCAGCTACTGGGCCTGCGCCGTCGACCCGGCCTCCTACTTGGTCAAGGTGGGCGTTGGACTGGAGAGCAAGCTGCAGGAAAGCTTCCAGGGCGCCTCAGATGTGATCAGCCCCAGGTCAGGCCGCTCTGGCAGGGATGGGGTGTGAGGGCCCTGGGTGGGGGCTGGGGACAGGGTGAGGTGGCAGGGAGAGCACAGACTTGCTGGGGTGAAGCTGGGAGGAGACTGGGAGGAGGCAGCAGGGTAATGGGAGCCAGGCCAGGGGGCCCGTGGCCGAGGAACATGTGGGATCAGCGGAGGGCTCTGAGGGTTGGATTTTGGAGTGTGTGGCTGGGGAAAAAGATGGCAGAAGAGGGAACCGCTTCCACTTCCTTCCGTCTGTCACTCAGGTCTGATACACCATCTCTCCCAGCCACGTGTCTTTCCCCCTAACACCGCATTTCCAACACCCTTTCCCCACAAACCCTCCTCTCCCACACCTTTCCAACCCTATCTTTTCTTAACACCCTGAAATTCTTTCCTTAAAATTTCCATCTCTAAACGCTCTCATCCCTGACATCTGCCTAACACCCCCACACATGCTTTCCCCCCAACGCTTAATCCCAGCACTCCACCCCCAGGACCCCATTTCTTCCCAAAGCTCTCTGTCCCCAACCCCCATCTTCCTGACATCTCTCATCTGTGATACCGATGCGCCCTCGTCTGTCTCCCAGCATTTCCCTTCCCGGCACCCTTTCTCTGCTCTGTCACCCCTGAACCTCAGTCACCAAACCGCATTCTCCCAGCAGCCTCTGCCCCGCGGAGCCCTCTCCCCGCGTGAGAGCCCAAACCATACTCCCCACCACCCTCCCACCTCAATAAGGCTGCGTTTCTTCAGTGGGCCTCATCAGTACCTTGCCTTTCTTTTGCCCCAACACCTCTCTTGCCAGCGTGATGTACCTTCAGTACCCCTTTCTTGCCAAACCAAACCCCCAACCCTACGACCTAACCCCTGGCTCTTTGACATGTTTTTCCTCAACACCCCAAATCCATCATTTCAACTGACATTCCATACCTCCAACATCTCCGCGCACTGGCGCGCCGCCTGCCACCTCCGTGTTCCGCCCTCCAACACCTCCTACTCAATGCGCGCTCCTGCAGGTACGACCCAGACAGCGGGCACGACAGCGGCGCTGAGGATGCCACAGTGGAGGCGTTGCCACCCTTTGCTTTCCTCACCATTGGCATGGGCAAGATCCTCCTGGGGTCCGGGGCCAGCTCAAATGCAGGGCTGACGGGGAGGGATGGCCCGGCAGCCGGCTGCACTGTGCCTCTGCCGCCCCGCCTGGGCATCTGCCTGGATTACGAGCAGGGCCGGGTCTCCTTCCTGGATGCTGTGTCCTTCCGCGGGCTTCTGGAGTGCCCCCTGGACTGCTCGGGGCCTGTGTGCCCTGCCTTCTGCTTCATCGGGGGCGGTGCCGTGCAGCTGCAGGAGCCGGTGGGCACCAAGCCCGAGAGGAAGGTCACCATCGGGGGCTTCGCCAAGCTGGACTGACCATCGCACACCCTGCTTGGGCCCTGGCCCGCCAAGCTTCCTGGACCCGGGTTATTCCTCCAGCAGCTTTTCCCTCAGACTCTTCCTACTGTGTGGTCCTGTCCTTCACCCCATGTCTCTGTCTTCCCAGGACCTTCTCTCGACCCAGGGACACTCCTCTGCTCACCTTTCCGGGTGTTCCCCTGTTTCTCCGTGGCCTGTTAACCCGGAGCGCCAACCCACCGAGTTTCCACTCCGTGCTTTGCCCTTGGTATCTCTTCCAAGTCGTGGCGAGCACCCCTTCTCCAGCCCCACCCCACGCTCCTTCTCAGGCCAGTTAGGAGAGAAGCTCTGGGTCCCTGGGCACCATCTCCAGCTCTGCCCTGCCAGGCTCCCTGCCCCACTGATGCTGAACTGCAGGCTCAGAACAGGCAGGCGCTCTGCTTGGACACTGCCCGTGCAGTCCCTGGTGAGGGAAAGGACCCTCCCCATTGTTTAGGTGGGTCCCCATGCCCTTCAGCCGCATGCCTCTGATGTCCCCTTCTCCCTCTTGCATGCTGTCCTTGTCCCGCACCCATGCCAACGGGCCAAGCCTCCTTTTGGGGCCCCGGCAGAGATTGGGTGTCCGCATTGGGTTGGGCCAGGCAGGACCTCTGGTGCCCACGGCTGCCCCCTTGCAGTAGGGACTGTTAGGTCTGTTCCAAGCAACAGCTGTCATTTTCACGGTTTATAAACAATAAACTGTGGTGCCAGGCATGTCTCTGCCTTCCCTGAGCGGACCATTCCTCTCACTTTCTGTGCCGGGTGTGGCTGCCCCGAGGGAACCTGGGTCTCAGACACTGCTCAGGGCGGGGCTGCCTGGTGGGTATAGCAGCTGAGGCACAGGGGTCCCCAAACCAGGCGCTCCCCAGCCTCCTGCCAGCCCACTGGCCCAGCCCCGGCCACCAGGGGGTGCGTGGTCACCCACCCCCACATGAGGGGGGGCACCTGGGCGTGGCTCCCAGACCCCGAGGGAATGTGACAGAGGGGAAGGCACTGTGCTGGGGCCGAGGACAGGGAACCAGAACCACTTCCCCGTTCCCTGGGCCAGGGGAGCAGGTCCTAGAGCCAGTGGGCAAATGGGGTGGCCTGTAGCCAGAGGGGCCAGGCTGGGCACCAGCCCCGGATCTAACACTTGTTGTGGGTGGCTGTGTTGACTCTGACGCTGTTATCGCTGCCTAAGGACTCTTCACAGCCGGGCAGCTCGGAACAGAACCACCTGAGGGCACGGTGCCAAGGGGAGGAAGGTGTGGCTGCCGGCCCCCAGCCGGGGCGAAGCCAGGGCCCAGCCACAGGCACGCAGGCCAGAGCCCAGCCACCTGGGTTTCGTTTCCTCTTGTGCCGCCAGCGATGGGAGAGAGGTGACTCAAATTCTTCCGCCAGCCACTCCGGCGCCCCAATGTCATCTTTCCACACACCCCTGCCACTGAAGCGAGCCTGCTCCTCCCCTTTCCTCCCTGTCTTCTCCCCCAAAGGCCCCTTCCAGACCCCCCACACACACATACGTTCTGACCGCCCCTCCTGTCTAAGGTCACAGATGACACATCAGAAGTTGGCAGTCAGGGCAGAGTAGGCCCACAGTTTATTCAGCCATGTACACGTTCCCACCCGGATCTGGGGGCATATTCCCCAGAGCCCTGACAGGCTCCACTGGGGCTGGGTGGGTTAGAGGACTTGCTGGGGCCTGCGGAGGAGGCCATGAGTGCCCACTGGAACTCTCAGCTCCCCCATCGGTTCAGAGCGGGGCACTGGCTGGATGCTCTGGCAACGTGCCCCTACAAGTTGGCAGAAGTGGCTGCTGGGTTCATGTAAGAGAGGCTGCTGCCACCGTTGCCTGCAGACACCTGGGGGAGGGGCGCAGGAATCCAGGCTGAGGGGCAGAAGCTTTCCTGGGAGGAACTACCAGGACCCCTGGCTGGCAGGCACCAAAGCATGGCTCTCAAAGGGTTAATTTGGAGAGCACCTGCTGGTCACCACCACCGGCAGCCGGTGACTGTAAACAGGGCCCGCCCTCCTCCTCCTCCTCCCCTCTACTCCCTCCCTTCGATTCCAATCAGCCCCCTTCCTCTTCCCTCCTGCCCCGTCTCCCTCCACTCTGCTCTTCTAGCCCAAGAAGGTGTGCATGCTTATCCGTGTAAAACTGGAGAAGGAAGTTCCAGAAAAGGGAAAATGGGGTCAAGAAAAGGAAAGTCTCCCTCCCCCACCTGGAGTTCCAGCTCCAGGTGACCAAAGTAATTATTTACTAGGACCTGCAGAGAAAGGCCAGGAGAGGAAGGAGACTCCTGAGAACCCCACCCGGGCTTACCTGGTTTGGTGAGACTTCTTCCCCTGGATCAGAGACCCCCGCCCCCACCAGCCTTTCTCAGTCTACCCTCCATTCTTGGGACAAATGGGGGCACAGGCACTCACTCCTTGTGAGTCCCGCGTGAAGGGCTCCCCCGGGAACGTTGCCCACCCACTTCACCTCTGGGCAACCTGTCCACAGCGTTGGCACCAGTTCAGCTGAACAGTGAATGCTGTTCTGGAAAAGTTAGTAGTGGGGACACTCCCTTTCGGAGTCACCTTTCTTCTGTGGCCTCCTCCGCAGGCCCTTCCCCAGAACTCTTCCAGCCTCTACCCTGTTCTCGCCAGGCCCTCCGCCGTCGGTGCCTCCTCTCAACTCTTTCAAGTTCTTTGGGTTTTCTAAGTACCCCTTTTAAAACCCTTCCCAGCCAAAACCTCTGTCTCTCTCCACCTGTGGGACCCATCCTCACCTCCTCATATGGACTACGCTTGGTACTGCCAGGGGCCACATAGCGCCCATGGGTGTGGTAGGTAGGGTAGTCGCTCATAGGATGGTAGGCATCTCGGTTTGAAAAGATGTCCAGCTGCCCACAGTTCTTTCGGCGGCACTGACACACAGCCTGGGGAGATAGGAGGTTATGGGGGGCCACGGAGTTCCTCCTAGCAGGGGGGCTCTGGTTCGGGCTGAGGACTGAGTACTTACCAAGGCAACGAGACAGACGATGGCCAGCACGACCAGTACACACACAAGCACCAGCAGGGCTGTGCCCCAGCCAGGAACCCCGGGCCCAAGCTGGGCAGAGGGAGGATATGACACGTCATCAGCTAAAAGGAAAAGCAGTGATCAGGGCGGTCTCCCAAAGGAGGTGCCCCCCCAGGACCCAGGGAAAGGCAGGAATCCAGACACTGCAGAGAGAGGGGCCCTAGAAGTGTGGTGCCAAAGCGAGGGAGAGAAGCCTCACCACTAACTCCTGAGATGCTCAAGTCGTACTTGGTCGCTTTGTATAGTTGACGAACAAACTGTGCCTTTATGTCGTTGCCACTGGTGGTGCTGTCTCGGAAGGCCAGAATTGACTCCACCACCACGGATCCCGGCCTGCTCCCAGAGAGATGGGCAATGCAGCTGCAGGTCCCCACTTCTGGACACTTGCCCCCAACCACAAGTGTGCCAGTCCCTCCCCACAGCCTCGACCACATCTACTCACTCAGACAGAGTCCACACCCAGGACTGTACCTGAAATTCACATTAGAGGAGCCCAAAAAATTGCCAGGTGCATAAATCTGCAAAAACTGGGGTGAGAGGGAAAGCACTGAGAATTGGCACAGGTGTGAGCGGTTCTGGAGGCCGCTGCAGGGGAGTGCATGGCAGAAGGGCAGCTTACTCACCAATTCAGTAATGTTTCTCTGCAGCTTCTGGTAGTAGTTAGTTCTGGGGTCCTCCAGGGAAGAGTTAAATGGGCGGTTCAAAATACGGAAGGACAGGAGGAAGAAGGAAATCCTGTGACTGGGGGAGGTGAGGGGCACTGTGCTACCATTAGTGCTGCTGACAGTGGTCCCGGTTCTGTGGCTGGCAGGGGTGGTATGAGTATCAGAGGTGCCCTTGTGTGATGGAGTGGCAGCTGAGTTTGACATAGGGCCAGTGGCTAGGGATGAGGTGGCACTGTGGAGTGGAGAGGTGGCCAGGCTTGAGGCAGGGCCGGTGGCCGGGGAAGGGGTGGCACCGGGGCCTGGAGCGCTGGCCGAGCTTGAGGCACGGCCGGTGGCTGGGGAAGAGGTGGCACTGTGGACTGAACTGGTGGCCAGGGACGAGGAGGCACTGTGGAGTGAAGAGGTGGCCAGGCTTGAGGCAGGGCTGGTGGCCGGGGAAGGGGTGGCACCGGGGCCTGGAGCGCTGGCTGAGCTTGAGGCAGGGCTGGTGGCTGGGGAAGGGGTGGCACTGTGGACTGAACCGGTGGCCAGGGACGAGGAGGCACTGTGGAGTGAAGAGGTGGCCAGGCTTGAGGCAGGGCTGGTGGCCGGCGAAGAGGTGGCACCAGGGCCTGGAGCGCTGGCCGAGCTTGAGGCAGGGCCGGTGGCCGGCGAAGGGGTGGCACCGGGGCCTGGAGCGCTGGCCGAGCTTGAGGCAGGGCCGGTGGCCGGCGAAGGGGTGGCACCGGGGCCTGGAGCGCTGGCCGAGCTTGAGGCAGGGCCTGTGGCCGGCGAAGGGGTGGAATTGGAACTGTGGACTATAAGAAGTTGAGGGTTGAGTGTGGACATAAATCAGAAAAGGAGAAAATACATCCTGTAGCATTTGGAGAAGTAATGCCAGGAGGATTTGGAGACAAACCTCTGAGTCGGCCCTTCTCCTCCTTCCTAGCTGGCAGCCTCCCTCTCCCCACAGCCCTCTGCTCTTGATCGGCCATCGTCTACTCCGAAGATTGACCTCTTCTGTCCCCCCACCCCCACCCTCACCCCAGACTTCTCTTCAGGAAACGTGTGTGCCCCAGCACCCATGCTCCCGAGGCAGGGGGTCCTCTCTTCTTAGCCTTTCTCCTTTATTCTGGCACAGACTAGGCCACCCGTCTGCAACTGCTGCTTCATGGGGTGCCATCTGCCAGGAAACAAAACCCACAGAAAGGCTGCGCAGAGCAGCCCCCGCCCCAGCTTGCGCCCCTCACCTTCAAGCACTGGGAATAGCAGTAGCACCAGGAAGAAAGGGGCCTGGATACCCGGAGTCATGGTGGTGCTGGGCCAGGTGGGGAGGGGGCAGGACAGACCCGGGCAGGCACTGCGTGTGAGGTGGGACGGCGCAGGCACCTGCTGCTTTATACTGGTCCTTCGCCCGCCCTGGGCTCAGCCAGAGCAGGTGACAGGTGACAAAACCCCGCCCCTTCCCCCACTCCCTACCTCCTATCTTTTCCTCCTCCTCCCCAACTATTCCTGTGCCCTCGGGTAGGGCGCATGGGCTTGAATCACTCAACCCTCTGACAAGCTGTTTGTTCTTCAGTTGGCCTCCCCCTTTCACCAACCAGCCCTTGGCTCCAGAAGGTGGTGTGTTCGGGGAAAAGTGAGGGAGTCTGGGACCTAGGTCCTCAAGGCTTTAGTTTTAGCCTCAGGGCTATGGCCAAGGTGAGAAAAGGAATAGAGAAAGTGGGTAAGTTAGGGCTGGGAAATTTATATCAGTCCCCCACTACACTTCTTTCTGGGCCCCTTGAAGCCCCACTCTGGGGGCTGAGAAGAAATGAGAAGGCTTGCTCTGACTGGCATGGTTCAGTGGGATGGGCACTGTCCCACAAAGGGAAAGGTCTGGGCTTGGATTCCTGATCAGGGCACGCACCAGGTTCCCAGGTAGGGGCGTGTGAGAATCAACCCATTGATGTTTCTCTCCCTCTTTCTTCCTCTTCCTCTCTCTAAAAAATAAATAAATATTTAAAAAAATAATAAATGAGAAGGCTTGATTGGGAGTAGACTAGGTGCTACTTTTGGACCCCCATCCCCTACCACTTCCCAGAATAGCCCCACCTTGCTAACCTCTCCCTGTCCTGTTCTGCACCTAGTTCTACCCTGAAACCCATAGTCTCCCCCGCCCTGCCGGACTTTCCAGGAGCCTAAGTTACTTCCTTGATTTTCTTCTGAGAAGGGAGCGCGAGAAAAAAATTTCACTTAAAGGATGAGACCTGGGTTGCCGAACCCTAGGGTCTTTCCTTCCCTGTCTACCTGGCAGTGACAGGCAGCCCGCCGGGCCGGCCAGGCTCTCCTGCCCTCTAGTGGCCACCGGGAGCCTCAGGGCCCGGGCTAGTTGGCAGGCTGCCGCGGAGCGTGGGGAGAGGAGATTGGAAGGCACTGCCTCAGTAGCGACTGAGAGGCTAGGGAGGGCAGCAACCCCATTGAGACGGGTCAGTAGCTTGGACAGAGAAGGGGAGGAACACACTGTGCCATCGATGGAGAGGCTGGGAACTTATGGAGAGGACTCTGGGGTGCGTGGGATGGTATCTGGAGGAAATGGCGCTATGTGGGTGGGGTCCTGAGGTATGTGGAAATGTCGACGAAGTACGTAGCAGAGCACATCGGAATGTGGGAGGTGGTAGGACAGGTTATGTATTAGGAGTGAGAGAGTTGGTAGGGCGACAGAATGGTACTGGGGGGCACTGAACTGTCGGAGAGCATAGTGGTATTTGGGGCAGGTAAGCACGGTAGGAGTGGGGGCAAAACTAGCGAGGGTGCGTAATTTAAAAAAAAGGTTTATTGCATTTTCAAGTGAGAGAAACGGGAAGGGAAACACGTATGTGAGAAAGACCAACCGGCCACTACCTCGCGCCCCAACTGGGGATAGTAAAGCTATCAACCTGGGCGTGTGCCCTCACCGGGAATCAAACTGGCGACCCTTCGGTTACCGGACAACCGATAAGTGAAGGTCCAACCAACTGAGCCATGCCAGCCGGGACATGGGCCTGAAATGTTGGAGAACCGAGAGATACTTTGAGGGGCAGAAATATTTGGGACCAGAGAAGTATTTTGGGTCACAGCAGCACATGCAGCTTAGGGTATCGGGCCCCATCCAGAGGTCCCGGGTTGCGGTCTCGGCCGACAGAAGCAGTTAAGAAAACAATTTTCTTAACTGCTTTAAAAAAACAATTCCTAACTCTGACAAATACAGACTGAAAACTGAACTTTAAAAAACACTTCTGTGCGGCGGAAAGCCTGGGACCGCAGCTCCGCGGCGCCGGCTCCACCCTGCCGGTGCGGCTCCGTGCGGCGCCCGGCGGCGGGCGTGACGTCAGCTCGCGGGCAGAGGAGGCGGGGAAGCCCCGGCCCCGCCAGTGGGGACTCGGGAGCAACAAGAGGGGCGGTTTCAAAACTTCAACCCCCGCCCTTGCCAGGCAACAACCATTTCTTTCAGTTGCTAGGATATGCATTACCATGGTGACGGCTCCGCGCCAAGCAGTGGGAGTATTTAAAGAGCAAACGCGCAGCCCGGGCGTCAGAAAGTGGCCTTCCGGGGTAGGGATGTTGCTGCTTTTGCTTCCCCCTCTTCCATACCATTCCCTTGACCCTCCACGCGCCAAGTCACTCTAGCCTCCCAGGTGAACTCAACTCCCCAGCGCACCCCAGTCTTTGGGCTAATCTTGCTTCAAGCGGCGGGGAACGGGATCCCGGCCCCGGGCGGGCGGGAGGGACGGGACGCGGTGCAGTGTTGTTCTTTTCCCCGCCAATATTGCACTCGTCCCGGCCTCCGGCCCCCCCGGCCCCCCGGCGCCCCCACTCACCACGAGCGGGGCAGCCCCGGCTGTCCCGACTTTCGATCCCGGCAGATTTAAGATAGACTGGAGTGTCGCTGCTAGCATCGTGAGTAAGTGGGACTGGGAGGACTTTAACCACCCTCCCACCAGCCCCCTCATCCTTCACCTAACCAACCCCCCATCCTTCACCTAACCCTCATCCAGCACCTTCCTGTGCCCCAAACTGAGCCAAACTTCCTCTAGATCTCTAACTTCCAACCTACCAGCCCTCTCTCCCTTAGCCCTCTCAGGTCCCTTCCTGCTCCCACACTGCCCCCAGAAAGTCCCTAAAATAAACAACTACACTAGCTTAGAAAACAACTGGAACTTTATGGCAAGGTGCTGTTATCTTTCCTGGGTTGGCGCCTGAGAAATACCCCTTGAAAACTTCCCATCTCCTCAACAGTCACCACCCTCTGGGGCTGAACTCCTGATTGGCACCAGGAGAGGGTATGTGTTTGGCTGAGGGGCTGTAGATTAGACCAGGGTGGGGGTTTCCAGGACAGACCCCAAGGTCAGAGGGTCTAAAGTCAGCAGTTTGAATCTGGTAGCCATTTCTTCACACTCTTCCCTGGAGCAGCTGCCTCCGGAATGGCTCGAAGTCCTCGGGAACTGTGTCTGAGGAGGGAGAAATGACTAAAGTCAAAGGTGGGGCTCTTCCCTGAGAGTGCGAGAGGTCAGGCTGGTGTGGGTGGGTTGAGAGCCTCACCGTTGCATCGGTACTGGAGATTGGACCAAATGATGTTTTCTTGGGAGAAGCAGAATACGCCGAGACGCCCCCCACGCATGGATGTGTCAATGATCACCCCAGAATCCGCCACTAGCTGAGGACCCTCATAGAGCTTCACTCTGTCCAGGACAGGGTTTCCATTGGTGCTAAGGTATCTATCGATGGGCATTGTGCCACTATGCCGGGGGCCCTGGTCATCCCCAACCCCCCTCAGCTCACCAGGCCTGAGAGAAGGAAAGAAGGAAAGGGGATGGAAGTGGGTGCTTTTCTCAGGCCTGGGGCCCCAGGCTCTTTGTCCAGCCCCCTTTGCATCTCAAAGCACCAGCCGCATTCCAGGCGAGGATTGGGTTGCCATGACGATGAGCACAATGGACTGGGGGTGAAGTCACCCACTTCCCAGGCTTTAGTCCACCACCCCTTATATTCTGCCCTGGCGCCCCACAGCCCAGGCACCTTAAAGAGGAACCAGCAGCCCAAGTGCCTGGACTCTGGGCTCTTGGCCATTTCCCTTCCCTTCCCTGTCATCCCCACCAGCTAGGGAATGCAAAGTTGTAGACAAAGTGCTGAACCGAGGCCTCAGCTCAGCTGCAGAGAGCTGTGAGGTCTAGGCAGTAAATAACGGCCCCTTCCAGGTCAGACGCCTTGAGGAGGCAGGTTCTGGGCTGTAGCAGTGAAGGGCCTGAGCTCTGGAGACTCCCAGGGGTGCCCTTATTTTACAGAGGGGAAAAATGGAACACAGAATAGGAAGTGCCTGCCTAACAGTGCCTATCTCTCCTTGGCACCAGAGTCCAGGCCTCCCTGTCTGCAGTGAGAGGGGATGGAGAGAAGTGGTCCCAGTCCAGGCCCACGGCACCAAAGCACCGAGGAGAGGGGTCTCTGGTGAGTCCCAGCCACAGGGGAAGGAAAGGCTGGGCTGAGAACAGAATCCCTGAGGAGGGCTCCGCCCCTCCCCTCACCGAATATAGCCAACTTGAGGCCGGTGCAGCAGCTGCCAGCGGTAGGAGGTCTTGTCACGCCAGCCCACATTCCGTGGGTCAGTCCACAGCAGTTGTACCTGATCAGGGGTATGGCCAGTATGCCATAGGGCATTCCGGAGGTGCTCACCTGGGCCAGACACTGATGTCACTGCCTGGGGGGCATTGGCAAAGACAGCGCGTCAGCCACAGGTTGGTAAGTGCAAGTGGGAAAGGAAGTCAAGGTGGTCAGGAGAATGTTCTGGAGCCCCAGGAAGCCAACCTCTAGGCCCAGTGTCTGAGTAAGAGGGCTCCTACTCAGGTACGGGGAGAGGTTTTGGGAAAGGGTCTGGACTGGGGAATTTGGGCAGCTGCCGGACCTTGAGCTGCAGCCCAGGCTGGGCAACAGCCCGGAAAGGTGTGGCCTGCCAGTAGGTCTGCTCCGTCTGCTTCCACATAACCACGTAGAAGCGGCCACTGTCCTGGTAGCTGAAGAGGAAGCCTGCATAGTCATCATCGGTCACTGTGTTCACATGGAAGGTGCCTTCAAAGTCCACACCATTGAAGGCTGTATATCCTAGAGGAAGATGGATGTATGGGATCAAGGTCAGGGGCAGCAAAGCTACTTGTGGCCCATTGTGCGGCGGGGGTCGGAAGGGATGCCTGCAGTATGTGTGGCCAGCTTGCCCCCCAAACTCTGCCCCTATCTGGTTCCTGTTTGGAAATTATTGAACAGGGTATCCCCTACATACCAACTGCCAGGCCTGGGTCACTGTTCATGGTCTGAACGATTTCCATGCCCTGGTGATGGGCAATAAAGAAGAAAGACCTGATCCAGGTGCACTACCTACTTCGGCCCTGCCTCGGAGTCTGGTCTGACAGTACCCACCCAGCCCACTGCCCTAGTACCTGGTTGAGCACGACCCAGTTTGGGTCAATCTGAGCATCCCCTTCGGGGTCCAGGACGACGGTCTGATAGGCCCGAAAATCCGTGAGGGTTACCTCTGCACTTTCGGGACACACATCCAGGGGGTCGACCACTGCATCATTGTCAAAGTCATCCTCACACACATCACCAATGCCATTGCCTGGGAACAGTGAGGCTGGGTGCTCAGAAAGGCCCTAACCACTGCCACTAGCCAACATCACCACGTCTTGGGCCTTGCATTCCTGACCTCTCTCCCCACCGTGCCCTTTCTAACTCCCCGGCAACGACTGCCTCCTCTCAGTGAGTGAAGCCCACACCAGACCCCAGTCTTAACTTACTGTGGGACCCCAGTCTTAACTTACCATCTGAGTCCTTCTGATTGGGATTGGATACCAGGCGACAGTTATCAGGACCAGGAGGCACGTAATCTGGGACACCATCATTGTCATCGTCCCCATCACACTCATCTCCAAGTCCATCATTGTCCGAGTCCAGTTGGGAACTATTGGGTATCTGTGGGCAGTTGTCCTTGGTGTCCTGATGTCCATCCCCATCACTGCCCATGAAAACAGACACTGAATAAAGGCTCTAAAGGTACCACACATCCTTCCCTTGTCTCCTGGTTAGGAGTCTCTGAGGTACCCTCCATTCAACCAGACCCTTTGCCGTCAGCCAGATGAGTTGAAGGTCCAGCAGTAGAAATGGAGGGTAGACTACAGGAATAACTTCCTGCTCAACAGTGGTGAAGAATTAAGGCTAAACCACAAAGAGAATTGAGAATATACTAGAGGAAGGTAAAACATCCCTTGTAAGACCTATCTGTTGGCCAAGACCCTACCTGTCTTCATTGGTGTCACAGACATCCCCCACCAGGTCACTGTCTGCATCTGTCTGAGAGAGAGGGGCCTGTTCTCACCATCTCCTCTTTGATAACTGAAGAGGGTGGGTGACCTGACCACTTCCCGTTACCCATCAGTCCCCCCACCCCTTCCCTGTCCTCTCCATTCCCCTGTACCTGTGTAGGATTACTCATTTCAGGGCAGCTGTCACAGGCATCTCCCACCCCGTCCTCATCTCTATCTGTCTGTAGGGGGTTGGGGACTTTCAGGCAGTTGTCCAGTCCATTGGGGATGCCTAGAAGACATGGGGACAGCAAAAGGTTGTCACACTCCTCTAGGCTGGTGAAAGCCCTGAGCTTTGTCTCCCATCCAGAGGACAGCTGTTCAGGAAATCGTCCTGTACCAGATCTCACCCTCTCGCCTGCCCTCTCCCTGCCTAACCCTACGCACCGCCGCGCATTCCCACTGCCACCTGCCGCGGGCCGTCTCTCATCCAGGCTGACTTCCATAGGAACACCCTCCCCGCACCTCAGACCTCCTAGCCTCCTTGCTTCATTCCCACTGTGTCCAAATTCTGATGGGTCTCCCACCCCCACAGCCCAGGTCTACACCATCCCCATCCACGTCGTTGTCACAGGCATCCCCTTCCCCATTGCCATCTGTGTCCTTCTGGTCATTGTTGGGAACGTTGGGACAGTTGTCACAGGCATCACCAAATGAATCTGTGTCTGAGTTTTGCTGGTCTTTGTTGGGGAACAGCCGGCAATTGTCCTAGGGTGGGAGGGAAAGAGTCAGGCCTCCCCAACACCACTGGCCACCCAGCATCCACCTTGTCTTTGTACCCATGTCTACGATCACCAGTCCTGTGGTGGTCCACCTGCTTGGCACAGTCCCACCCACCCAACCTCCAGATAGTCCACCTTGCCCTGGGCACCAGGCTTATGCCTCCCTAGTTTGTAGTACTGGAGCATTTCTGCAGAGTTGCCAGGGGCTGGGGGAGCAGGGTTATAGGGCCAGGCAACAGAGACGGGGAGGAAAGCACAGGTGCAGGGAGGATCAGGGTGTCTGGGGACCACCTCGACATTCTTGATCCCATCTCCATCAGCATCATCATCACATTGGTCCCCCATGCCATCGTTGTCAGCATCTTCCTGCCCAGAGTTGGGTGTCAACAGGCAGTTGTCCTAAAGGTCCAGGGAGGGGATGGATGGGTGAGTTCTGGCCCGTGCCAGCTTGGGGCAGCCCTGCTTATGCCCGCCTGCAGCCCATACCTGCTTGCAGTGCTTGTTGTTGTCCATGCAGGGCAGCGCCTGGTCCGGGTAGCCGTCGATGTCCGTGTCAGGTCCGCACACATTCCCATTCCCAGCCCAGCCCACGTTACACTGGGGCAGCACACAGGGTGAGAGTCAGCAGTCTGGGCTGGCTCCCCACCACTCCTTTCCCTGCTCCAAGCTCTGTTCTCACCACCCAGTTCCTGCGCCCTTTCCCATGAAGGCCCTCGTCCCAAACCCGAAACACATTCACTAGCCCTACCCCCTTTCCCAGATTCTCCCTTTTCCTTCCAAGCCCCAGGCCCAGCTCACCGAGCAGGACACCGCGCCATTGCGTTCAAAGAGACAATGTGCATGGACATGGCAGGGACTGTGGGCTGGGCTATGGCAGGTCCGGGCTGGAAGGCAGCCCTGGCTTTGGTTGCCCAGGAAGCCCAGGCGACAGGGACCACACTTGAAAGAGCCCTAAGAGTAAGGAAGTACTGTCTCAGGAAGGAGGGTCAGCCTACCAGGCACCCTGGAGTGGCACCTGAGGGTTAGAGGGTGGGCACTCAGCTACATGTCGGGTTTGTCAGTTATCTCCTTCAGGGTAACTTGCTAAAGGTCACAGCTAGTGAGGGGCAAAACCAGAATTCCAAACAAGGTCCATGTGGACCATCTACGTGTAGTGCCCTGGGGGAGGAGGGGACGCGGGAAGTTTGAAGAGAGTGTCGCATACTCCCACCACCCCAGGTGCACTCCAGGTATTCTGCTCACCACTGTATTGGTGCAGATAGAGTTTGGGTCACAGCCACCATTGTTCCCGTCATTGCATTCATCAACGTCGTTGCAAACCTGAAGGGGCAGACCTCAGGTAGAACCCGACCTGTGGTGGGTCTCCTTGTACACAGGAGAGGGCACTGGTGTGCCCTTATCTGTGAATGTTGACATGAAGCCCAGCCCCAAAACCAATGCAAAGCTAGCAGATGAGCCTCATCTCATTTATCCCAAGGGCCCCATGGCCCACCCAGAAACCCCTGCAAGGCCACGTTCTCTTATCTACACACTCCACCGAACCTGACCTGTTTGCTGGCTCGGGCGTAGTCGATGCCCACACCAGACACCCGTGTGCCCTTGTAGCCTTGAGGACAGGCCTCACAGTGAAAGCCAGGCATGGTGTTGATGCAGCTTGAGCCCGGGAAACAAGGGTCAGCATGCGCACACTGGAGACCAGACAAGAAGGAAGATGTCGGGCCCCAGCCTGTGATCCCAGGACCATGGCTTTTGGTGTCCCATTTGTAGTCCTTCCCACCCAGCATCACTGTACTCTGAGCCCTGCCCCCAGCCTCCCTCTGGGTCCCCCCTAACCAGCCCTCTCAAATTGCCCTGCCACTCCGCCAACACCTTCCCTGTGTGGCCCTTCTGTCTCTGCCTCAGATCTTCTGCCTCCCTCCCTTCTCCCACTTTTCTGGTCTCCAGCCTCTCCTACACCCCAGGCTCCTCTGCTTCAGACCAACATTCCCCCCACCTTCTTGGGCCTCTGCTAACTCCCCCCCTGCAACTTGCTGTGTCCTTTCAGATTGCGCCCACCCCACCTCATTGACGTCAGTGCAGTGGGTGCCATTGCCCTGCAGGCCGGGGGGGCAGGGCCCACAGCGGTAGCCAGGGTACTCGTACACTTCCATGCAGTCCACACCTCGGAAGCAGGGGTTGGGACTGCAATGGGAACGCTGCTCGTGGAAGCCTGGGGAGAGGGCACAGCAGAGCCACCAAGAGGTCACCATTCAAATCACTGGAATTAGAAGCCCAAACTGTGGGGTAAGAAACACAGTGATACCACCTGGAGCCCTCCCCTACTCTCCCACTCACCGCACACCTGACACTCCATGATGGTGTTTCGGATCAGAGACATTTCCTTCACCTGGTAGACATAAGGATGGGGAGGAGCCAGCTCTTAGCATCTGCCACCTTGCCCCCGAGTCTGCTACCCTTTGAAGGCCCACTCCAACCTGGTCTCGAATGTCATCCCGCAGCTCCACCAGGATCTGGTTGAAGAGGGTGAGTTGGGTGACCAGCGCCTTGGTTTGCTCCCCTGTCAGGGCCCATGATGCAGAGAAACTCAGAACTGGGACACCAGCCCTGGTCCCTCCTCGGATAATAAGCTAGCTCCCACCACTACTGCACACCCCCCACCACCCTTAAACTCCATCTTATTCTTGGCTGAAAAGGACTTAGTCTCAGGCAGCTGCCAAAGCCTGGGGCCTCCTCCCCACCCTCATGCCCCTTTCTCTTCACTGTAGCCCACTCACCTAGGATGGAGTGGAGTGCACTGGTCACTAGAGAGAAGAAAACACAATCAGAGAGTGGAGAGGTGAAGAGGAAGAAGGAAAGGGACAGGAAAAAAGGACTGGAATAAAGATGGGGTGTTAGATGGTATGTCAAAGGTGACAGGCAAGCATCCCTAGCTCTTTCCACAGGGTGAGGGACCCTCTAAGGGAGCTGCCTCAGATGGTCAAAACCCAAATCCCTCCAATTCCCAAGCATCGTAGTGGGAGAAGGGATCCCAGGAAGGTGACCCAAAGCAGGGCCAGGGCCGCAATATATTCCATTTCCTCCCTCCCAAGCTTCTACCTCAACAGCACTTTCTTTGAAATATCTGGGAGAAGCGGTTGTTTTATTTAGGTAAGAGCCTCTGAACATCTGTATCAGAAAGACCAAGTGGATGGGCGATGCTCAGAAAAACTGCTATTAGGTGACCACCACCAACGGAGCTAAAAAAAGAGACCCAAGACCCTGATCTCAGGCAAAACCAAGGCCAAGCACTTAACATCCTCACCGCCCTCAGAGTTCTTCGGAGTTCCAGCCGCGTCTTGTGTGGTTTTGTGTTACCCGCTACCCTGGTAGGCAGGATGGCCTGAACAGGGAGATTTTTTGACCCACACCTTTTGGGATGGCTTTATTGTTTGGAGATCAGAATCAGAGGGGAAGGAGATTTGGGGTGAACAGGGTCAGAGCCCCAGGAATAGGTGAAGCAAAGTAATGAGTGTTAGGGGGTAGATTGAGAAGATGTGAATCACCAAAGACCACAGGATATGGTCTGGGCTCTGGAGTTTTACTAACAGAAGTCTCAGAGTTACCTGCACTGTGAATGGACTCATCCCCCTGGAATGGACACTCACTCAGGGCTCCAACACGGGCCATGGACCCGCCTAGAATCATTTTCATAGATTCCACGAAGCCCTGGGGGCATAGGAGCAGAATAGGGTGGAAGGACCTACCAACTCCTCCCACTGGTGCAAACTCTGTTTCCATGGAAACTCACCTGCATCCTCAAATAAGCCTTCTGTCCAGTCCTAATCTCCAGTCCATCAACCTCCGCTGGAGGGATCGGGGCCAGTGCCGGGAGACCGGCATGTTGATCACCCAGTTTGCAGTCCACAAAGAGCTGCAGGCCAGGGCTGGGGTGGGATGGGCCTCGGAGTCGCAGGAGTGCTGTGTGTGTGCGCCCATCAGCCAGGCCTGCTTGCTGTAGGTTCACTGCATGGACTTTGCCATCCTCCCGCTGGTACCGCACCAGCACTGCCCAGGAGGGGAGGTCAGTATGGGCACCATCCCCCATCCCCTGTATCCCAGCTGAGCCTCGGGTCAACTCTTCTGGATGCCACATCTCTAGGGCTATGATCCTGTACTCAGCTGTGTACCTCTCAAACGCCTTGTCCACAACAGGTACACAATGTATGTTCTTTTAAACTGGTTCAAAGACTAGGACTTCCTTAGTCTTCAGTGGCATCAGATCACTCAATCACCTGCAAGGTGGCAGCTGGTCCTGCACCTACTAAACCGTCCCATGAATGTGAGGGACTTCTCTATACCACCACTGGGGCACAATGTCATGCCTTCCCCCTCCCCCAGGGCCTCCCCAAGGACATCCCATCCCTACAAATACCAGGCTTCGCCCTATTGTTTTGTTGCCTGTCCTTCTGAGGCACCTCCTAAGCACCCCATACCAGGTGGCCCCTGGTGCTGGGGCACGGCCTGATAGGTCCATGGTCCCCAGTGGCACCCAAGGAAAGTTAAGAGGGATGTGGGAGTGGGGACAAGGGAGAGTGCTCAGGAGGATAACCCCTGCAGGAAAGGCGATGCCCACCAGTCACCTTTGTTGATCTTGCCCACAACAGAGGCCTCCAGCCATCGTGTGTTGTCTTGGCGAGAGTAAAGGCCAAAGAGGACACCACCCTGCTTAGGAGGCAGGCGGAAGGTAGACAAGAGGTAGATGTCCCCAGCAGTGAGCAGGGCTGTCCGGATCTTCTCTGCCACAGCTACCATCTGCCGGGACTCACCCACAGTCAGCAGGTCAATCACTGGCCAGGCAGGGGTTATCAAGGTTAGAGAAAGGGATTAGATGCTAAAGCCTGTCCACTTCCTGAGCCCTCGGGAGGGGGGGTATCCTTCATCACTCCCTCCACTCCCACTACCAGACAGTGTTAGTCACCTCAAAATTCAACGCCTGCTGCTATTGGAGGACAAGGTATTACGCCTTCCTTTCCCTCAACATTGCCTGCTCTTGGCAATCCCCAGGCCTGAGGCTCATCTGGAAACGCAGAAACAGTGCCCCACACACTTGAGATATTCCCACCAGGTGGCGCAGGGGAGTCACTGCTGATTCCAGGCAGCAGTAGCACCTGGTGCCCACAGCACAGAAATTGGAAGGCAGTTTCTCTTTACACTGCTGGCTTTGACTCATTCTACATCCTAAAGCCCCTCCTCCCATCCTGGGGGCTCAGCACACTCACTCTGGATGAGAACAGCTGCCCACTGAGGGCTCTGACCCTCCCACTGTCTGGATCTCTCCCTCGAAAATGTAGGACCCAGCTCCTCTGCCTCCTGTGTCCTGGCCAATCTGTGGTTTCCCTTTCAGCCAGTAAATAATCTGTGCCTGTGTCATCTGCTCCAGCTACCTCTCCCACACCCATAGGCCCATCCCACCACCAGACCTCCCAGGGAGCCCAGACCTCTGGGTCCCAACCTCCACCCTGTCCTTGGGCAGCCAGCAGCCCAGGGGATGAAGAAGCTGAGGGGACCACACAGTGCACCCACCTTCACACCGCTCTCCCAGACTCCGGAGTGCTTGGGGATGCTCAGGCACTGGACCCAGCCAGGCAGCCCCAGCATCCAGCTCTCGAGTCCTCTGCCCTGATCTCATGCTAGCTGTGGCCAGTTCCCACTCACCTATCACCCTCTGGGTGTCGCTTCTTCCCACAGGGCCATAAGGCACCATTTCTTCACTCTGGCTCAATTTCAGGACTCTTCCCTTCCCCTTGCCCACATGTTCTCTGTTACTAGGCTGGGGGGAAATGGGGAGGAGGCAGAGGGGGTCGAAAAGGCTGGAGACAGGCTTACCCTGCAGGTCCTGACTGGCAGATGAGAAAGTGCAGAGGAGGAGAAGAGCCAGGGCTCCCCGAAGTTCCTGTGTCTCCATAACGCTCAGCCGGCTCACTAACCCTGGCAGGCAGGCGGCTGGGAGGGGAAAAGGCTAGGCGGAGAGAGCAGGGGGTGGGGGCGGAGGGACTGGAAGGGGGAGTTGAAGGGGGAGGCAGCAGGACGGTGAGGGGGGGCTGAAACAAAGAACTGCCAATCACCCCGGAGGCATCCCCAGCTCCAGGAACCAAGGGCACTGGGGAAAGCGTGGAGGCCTCCTTGCCTTCTGCCTCTCCCCAGTGGTCCTCTTATCCTGCTGCCTCCCTCTCTGCTGACACCTCGTTGTTGGGGGCCACCGCCAAATGCTGTTTCCTGGAAGTCACAGTTGGGGGAAGCAGACACCTCTGGCAGGAAAGTGCCCAACAGTGGGCATGATAAGAAGCCATGGGAGTGGTGGAAACTAGATTGCTCTAGTGCCCAGAGGATGCCCACAGGGCGTGAAGTGTGCTGCTCTAACATGCAAGTGCTCTTTATTAGGGTGAGGATCCCCTGACATGTGCCTCCATTTTTCCCTCATTCCTAGGAAAACCTGGAAGGGTCCAATGGGACCTGGAGGGAAAGGTTAAAACAATGGTGAGTGAGATCGGAGTGAAGAAATCAGGTAAGAAAGGGACACCAGAGACAGGAGTGGTCAGGAAAAGGGGGCTAAACTGGGAACACCGGGGCACACCAGCTGACAGTCCATGACCCCGATGAAGCGGAGGGTCGCCTCAGTTCCATTACTAAGGCAACACGAGCCCCACCTCCCCTCCCCCCACTCACGCCCTAGCCTAGCCTCGCTCTGGCGGCCGCCACCGCCCCTGTTTTGTTTCCATGGCGACAGGCGGCGCGGGGCCCGCTCCAAGCATAACGCGCTGTGGAAAACATGTGCCTCGGGGGAGCCCCCCCCCCCCCCCCCCCCCCCCGCACCCGCATCCCCGGCTCAGGGCCAAGGCCTGAAGGGCCCTAGAGCAGTCCAGGACACACGGGCAGATTTGCGAGACACCCCCAGGGCCAGCCCAGGTGCACGAGACCCCCTTCTCCGAGGCCTGCCACTCTTTCGGGGTTTAGGGACCCCCTCTCGGCCCAGGTTTCTCTACCGGCCGAGAGGTCTCGACCCTCCTTGGGGCCTCAGGTTGAGAGCCCCTCCCCCCTTTGAGAGCTGTCTCTGGATAAGGCGGTGGCCACCCTCCTCAGAGGCTCTCAGCTCCGCCCCCGCCACCAGGCCTTCCCCGGGCCAAAAGAAGACACACCTCTCCCTAAGCTACCCTCAGCCCTACTCTAGCTGCGGTAGGGGGGCAGGTCCACGCGGGAGCTGACAAAAGTGCAGAGGGAGGTGCTTCCGGGACAGAGGGCGGGCAAGATGGCGGCGCCCATGGAGCTGTTCTGCTGGTCGGGGGGTTGGGGTTTGCCGTCAGTGGACCCGGACAGCCTGGCGGTACTGGTGAGGGGTGGTGCCGGCGCCCTCTGCTGCGCCCTGGAGGACTAGGGAAGGGGCCCGAACTAGCTGGTCATCTGAATTTTGTCAGGGCGCCTCTAAACGGGCAAAGTGGGAGAAACCGAGGCAATCAAAGAGTGTCCAAGGCCAGTATAGGCTCAGTGCCCTATGCCTTAGAAACCTAGGTTTTGTGTAGCTATAAAAAGAGGGCTGGTCGGGGGTTCAGGATATGGGTTTTAGTCCTTGCTTTTCCATTTACTGGCTGTGTGACCTTGGGACGATTCCTTCTCCTCTCTGGGCATTGTTTCTTCATACAGATCGTTACTAAAGCGGAACAATCTCAGGGTTCTCAGGCTTGGCATTCCTGTCTTCTCCTCAGCCTCTCTTTCTACCTCTTCTCCTTCCTCCTCCTCACTAAACAGCATTTATTGAGCTTGTTGTTTATTGAACCAAAAGGCCCACAGCAGGGTTCCGTAGAAAGAGCTTTGGAGTCAGACTAGTTCACTTCACTCATTCACTCCATTTAACAAGCATGTATTAGCCCTCTTCCAAATATCAAACATTGCCATGCAAAAATAAGTAAGACTCGGTCCCTCTGGCATTGTTTACAGAAAGGCAGAAGGTCAGCAAATAAATGTAATAAAACATCCGGGTGCTAAGGTGTAAGTACAAACAGTCCACAGAAACTGCTAAAAAAAGGAAAAACTCATTAGAAAAACTTCTGAGGATAGGTTTCACCAGGTAGATGATAGGAGAGGAGATGGATTTTCCTACCTGACTTGTGACCATGGACAGTCCATAATCTCTGAGCCCTGTGTTGCTCGTTGTGAAGTGGGCACAGTAAGATTCACCTCTGTGTGTATTTGTGTATCAAGTACTAAGTGTAGATCATAGCACAAAAGGTATTTGATGTTATTTCTGTTCTTTTTAAAAAAAGATTTTTACTTATTTATTTTTAGAAGGAGGGGAAGGGAGAGAGGGAGGGAGAGAAATGTCACCGTGTGGTTGCCTCTCACACACCCCCTACCAGGGACCCAACCTGCAACCTAGGCATGTGCCCGGACTGGGAATTGAACCAGCAACCCTTTGGTTCACAGGCCAGCACACAATCTACTGAGACACAGCAGCCAGGGCTCAATTATTTCTTTCTTTTCTTGATTCCCCTGTGGGGCCATGTCCCTGGCCTCTCTCTGCCTTCCGCTTCCTTCCCTGCAGACCTATGCCAGATTTACTGGTGCCCCACTCAAAGTGCACAAGATCACCAACCCCTGGCGAAGCCCTTCAGGTACCCAGTGCCCGGGGGTGGGGGGCGGTGAGGAAGGGAATGTACAAGGGGAGAAGCAGGAGACAGGAATATGGTCCAAATATGTGTGGATAGATAGCTAAGGGTTTGGTGGGCACACTTCTTTCTCAATGTCAGGGACTTTGCCTGCCCTTCGAACCAGTCATGGAGCGGTCATCTCGGTACCACACAAGATCATCACCCACCTTCGAAAAGAGGTAGGTAACATGGCTAAGGGGGCTGCTGGGGAGAAGAGTTCAGTCAATTCAGTACAACATGTTTCTTGAGTACCAAGTATATGCCAAGTTAGATGCAGGTAACCCAGCGCTTCAAGGAACACACAGTGCAGTGGGGGGGAGGGGCACACATGTTGTTGGTATGATGCTATAAGTAGTAGGCCAGAGATTAAGCTAGGGCACTTTGGGGGCATCTGAAGGCACAGTGCCTTCTGCTTGTTGGGTGGAGAGGGAGAGATAAACAGGATGATGACACAAGGAAGGAAAAGGAATATAGAAGAGAGCAGTTGGCTCAAATGAGACCCTTGAAAGTGAGACCATTGTCTTTTTTCAGGGACCAGGTCATGTAGGATATGGGGCTCAGGATGGACAAGGCTTAGAGCCATGGTGGGGAAGTTGGAAGAGCATTACAAGAATGGGGAGGCCTAGGCTATGCCCTTCACTCTCTCTTTGACTTTTGTGATCTTTGGCAAGTCACTTAACATCTCAGAGCCCTAAGCTCCTTATCTGTAAAACTAGGGGTATTAGCTAGGATGCATTCCAAGGGTTCTTCTAGCTTTCAGGGTCTGATTCCAAAAGGAAACACATTGTGAGAAGTGGGACCCTCTTCTTCATTTCTACTTTCCCCCAAATTAAGGAGCTGGGGAATCAGTGGAGGCTTGAGAAGCGTGGAGAGAGGGGATCCAGGTAAAGCTAAGGTTCCTGGCAGGGACTGGGACACTGCTGTTTACTTATGTATGAGCACAACGTTTCCAGTTTTCAGAGTTTTTCCCCTAACAGAGCCACACTGAGAGAAAGAGATTAGTACCCCATTCCACAGGGGAGAAAATGAGGCTCAGAGAGATTTAAGGATCATGCTCAGGAGGTCATTTGGGGACAAAGCTTACTCAGGATGTGGAGGGAGTTGCTAAGCAACAGACACTGGAGCCCAGAAAGATGAGGCAGCCTGAGAGCCAGGGGTACAGTTGGAATGTGTGTGTGGTGCTGGTGGGGCCTGGGTCAGAGAATGAAATAGGGGAAATAGCCAAGATGGGCATTGAGAGAACAGGCCAGAGGGCCCTGGGCCTGGCTTCACTGGGTCCCAGGAGCATGAGGATGGTGCCCCTAGTTCCTGAGGCATGGATGGAGGCCCAGCCTGCCTCTGAGCTCCACTTTGGGTTTTGCTGTGCCTGCATTGGGAAAGTTACAGGCATGTCGCCACCTTTCCGTGGAAACTGTGGGAGCTGCTCCGGGTTTGCAGCTAGGCCTTCTTTCCTCCCCGCAATGGGCGTAGGACCTTGACAGCCAGGAGGCTCCAAGGCCCAGGCTATCTGCCAACAGCGACAGGCTACTAGCTGTGCCCAGGCCGAGGGGCCTCAGTGGGAAAAAACTCCTTACTCTACCTCTGTGGCACTCAGAGGCCAGCAAGGGTGGTACCAGACAGGATGCCCCTGGGAAAGTGCCCTGGAGTCCCTCAGCTTCCACCTCATTACGGACATTTCTTCCACAGAAGTACAATGCCGATTATGATCTGTCTGCCCGACAAGGGGCAGACACCTTGGCCTTCATGTCTCTGCTGGAGGAGAAGCTGCTCCCAGTGCTGGTAAGTGTGCTCAGACCTCTCAGTGTTCATGGCCAGTGGGGTAGGGGGCCAGGGAGACACACACCCAACCCCTGGCCCCCAGTGCTGCCTTGGAGCAGATGGGGATCAGGAGCCCACCCTGAGTCAGGTAGGTATACCAGTTCAGACCTGCCTATTCCTTCCCGATCCCAGGTACATACTCTTTGGATAGATGCCAAGAACTATGTGGAAGTGACCCGGAAGTGGTATGCAGAGGCCATGCCCTTTCCCCTCAACTTCTTCCTGCCTGGCCGCATGCAGCGGCAGCACATGGAGCGGCTGCAGCTGCTGTGTGGGGAGCACAGGCCGGAGAATGAGGAAGAACTGGAGAAGGAGGTACCTCTGGGATAGGGAGCTACTGTATGAGACGAGCCTTGGGGCTAATGGCCAGGACGGGAGTGCCTGGGAGTGCCTGGAAGGGGAGGTGGCATGGTGCCCCAAACCACAAGCCTACCTGTGTCCTCCCTATAGCTGTACCAAGAGGCTCGAGAATGCCTGACCCTCCTGTCTCAGCGCCTGGGCTCTCAGAAATTCTTCTTTGGAGATGCGTGAGTCTGACTCCAGGGGAATTAGAGGTGGCTTGGAAGAAGATAAAGGTTCAGATGTAGCTGCAGGGACTGGGTGGGCTTTAGACAAGAGGTCCTCAGGATAGACACTGGGTCCGGTGACAGTGGGGCTGTGTGTGGGGCTAGAGCCGCCTCAGTGGTACAGGAGGGTGGGAGGGCTGCCAGGCACAGGAGGGGCCTGCAGGGCTGTGGGGTACTCAATGTGCCCTTTATGCAGCCCTGGGATAGAGTCCCATTCAGGGCCAGGCTGGCGCCACCTAAGGGCCCTCCCCACACAAGGCTCAGAACAGTGTCCTCTCCCACCCTGGTGGTCCCTGCTGCCCAGAGCCTACCTCCCAGGGCCAAATCTTCTTCCGACTCCATCTCTACCCTCTCTGCCAAGGTCATCCTCCTCCATCGCATCCCTCTCTTTGTGCTTCAGCCCCGCCTCCCTGGATGCCTTTGTCTTTAGCTACCTGGCCCTGCTGCTGCAGATAAAGCTGCCCAGTGGGAAGCTCCAGGCCCATCTGCGGGGGCTGCACAACCTCTGTGCATACTGTACCCACATCCTCAGCCTCTATTTTCCCTGGGATGGAGGTAAGGGGCAGATCGAGGGGGTGGGCACAGGCCCTGGGGAGAGTGGGCAGGGACACAGGAACGGCCTTCTTGCCCACCTCTCTTCCTTGTCCCTCAGCTGAGATGCCACCTCCACGCCAGACATCAGTAGGTCCAGAGACTGAGGAGGAGCCATACCGGCGCCGGTACCAGATCCTATCTGTGTTGGCAGGGCTGGCAGCCATGGTGGGCTATGCCTTGCTCAGTGGCATTGTCTCTATCCAGCGGGCAGTGCCTGCCCGGACCCCAGGCACACGGGCCTTGGGCATGGCTGAGGAAGATGAAGAGGAGTGATTTGCCCTTGTGCTCCCAGGAGTGATTTTTCTACTCTCATGCATTCCAGAGGTCCCTGTGTCTCCCTGTTGTCAGTACAGCCAGAAATGGGTGACCCACCTCCTCAGAATAAACCTGCTCACATTGGCTGGGATCAGACAGTCTCTTCTTTAAGGGGCCACCATTTTCCTAGCTGGGGGCTAGGGGCTCTCTGGGTGCCTTGACTAATTAGCTGCCTGTGCCCTGATGCTGACATTGCTCCTGCAAGAGCCTAGTTCTGCATCTCCAGGAAGACAAACAGTCCTCAGTTCTGGGTCCAGCTTTCCTAGTCTCTTCCTTTCCTTACCCTCCCCCCGCCCCCATCTTGTGTTAATACAGACAGTGAGCTCACCCTGGGCTTGGGCCCAGTTTCCACAGGCAACCAGCAGAGAGCACACACATAAGCTTAGGGGTTTGGTGGGGGGGGGTGGCACTGAGGCTTCCCAGTCCTTTCCCAAGGGACCTCCAGGCCCTGGCACCAGCTAGAGGGGAGAGTGAGTCACCCAAACCACTGCTGCTGGGCTTATGTCAATTAAGCTCACCCCAGCCCTCTGTACCCTCTTTAATCACAAACAGCATGTGAACTGACTCTGTCCCTTTAATGCCCAGGTTGAGCCCAGGTGTCTGCTTGGGCATCTGCTCCATCACTGGCGACGCCACAAATAGGTGTGAATGGAGTAGGCAGGTGAGATGCTCTCCAGGAAACCTACAGCAGGATCCTTGATGGTGAGAGGCACATCCTTGGAGGAGCTGGAGAGGGGGAAGGAGAAGCTGAGTGTGACCCTGCCAAACCCACCGTCCTGTCCTTAGCCCAGTCCCCAGGCCCTGCTGCCCCCCTTACCGATTTAGCACTACCACGACTGCAGAGCCATCCGGACGCACCAGTGCCACTGTGTCCAAGTCGCTTTTCTCGCTAGCGACCAGCCCCACTCTCTGGGAGCCCTCAGGAATGAACTTGCTGAAGCGGAGACAGGCATCATCAGGCCCCAGCCCAGCCCCCTGGCCCTGAGGGTGGCTCCCATCAACCCAGGAGCCACCCTCCTAAACCTTGCCGACGCTTTGCCCTAATTCCCGAGGTCTCGAGTGAAGCTGCTGGCATGCCCTGCCCACCTGCCTCCCACCCCCAGCACTGCCACTCAGGGTTGTCTCTGATGCCATCAGGTCACTTCCTGCCCCGATGGTGCAAGAGGGATAGGTGTGCCTCTCCCAAGGTCCCCGCCCTAATCACCTTTCTATTCCTCATACGTGGTGACATAAGGCCAGGGTTCGAGACACTAGGCCTGGTGTGGAGTGGGGGTGCCTGCCCACCACTCACTCACCTGAAGTGGCCAAGGTGGTAGAACATGGGCTGTTTGTAAAACGTGTCCTTGGCAATGTCCACGATAATGGGACTGTCGACAAAGTTGCGTACCCAGTTGGGTCCCCCTTCAGGATTCAGGGCGAGGTTCCAGTCAGTCCAGCCAACCACGTGGGAGAGGAGATTCTAGAGCAGGGACAGGGCAGAGACAGAGGTTTCACGCTGGGTCCCCAGATAATGTAGTTAATGAGACAGGTGGGCTGCAGCGCCTCAGCCCCGTGAGGGGTGCTCTGTATCCCCACCTCTAAGGAGACGGGTTATGAGGAAGGGGATGTCACAGGAGAAGCTGAGAAATCTTAGCTCTAACTGCTTGAGACCCAAGCATTTAGAAAAAGGGTGATGGGACACACAGATCTGTGAAGGGAAGGCAAGGTAGGGAATCATGATATCCCCAAATGTCCCCAAGAGCAAGCCAGCTGGGAAAAAGTTGGAGAGGAGGGCCTATCATCAGCCTTTGCTGAAACTGGGAAGGGTCAGGTGCCCTGCTTTGTGCAGAGACACAGGTGGCTCACCACGATGATGCTGTGGCTGTACTGCATCCCTCGATCCCAGGAGCCCAGCCGCACACTCTGTTCCCAGAACTTGGAGCCCACACAGGCCTCTGAGGCAAAGAGCATGGTGTCGGGGAACAGGCGGTGTGTCTCCCCCAGGGTGGCTTTTGCTGGAGCCAGAAAGTCCAGGTACCAATGTACAGCGATGCCATGAACATACTTAGCTGCCTCTGGGTCTGCCAGCACCTGTACAGGGAAGGGGAAGGACTATTGGGAAAAGGGAGCCACCGAACCTGGAAGGGTCACTAGGGGACCAGGGATATGGGCAGTGGGATGAATGCAACTAGAGGAGGTTGAAGTAATAATCTGGGGGATCCGTGGGACCCTGGAGATCCAGAGGGGTCGCCACCCCCCAGCACTCTAAAAACCCAACTGAGAGTTGAGGCAGGGAGGGCACTCTGAAGCCAGTCATTTGGATTCTGAATTTGAGGGTCACTGGGGTACCCATGGAGGTCCTGGACTTACCACCTGGGCCCAGCGGGGCAGCAGCAAGCGTGTGTCATCCAGAATGAGCAGACGGACATTGCGGTGTGTACTGTTGGCCAGGGCGGGACCCAGGTCACGGGCAATGAAGTCTCGCTGGTGTTCAGGGGTAAAGCCCAGGCACTGGAAGGGGTACCCACTAAGTAGCCCTGCAGAAGGCTCATTCTCAGCCGTTACTGCCCAGAACTGTAACTTGTGCTCAGCATAGGCATCCAGGAACCTGGCAGGGGAAGGGTATATCTGACCATGACCAAGAAAAGGGACCAAGACCCTGAGGAATAGGAGGCCCGACGAGGAGGGAAAAGCTAGGGGTCCAAGTCTGAGAGGCACAGAAGGAGATGAGCAGGGTCAGGCTGAGACACGGACCCTGCGGGTCTGGATCCCACAGCCTTGCTGCTCCCTTACTTGACAAAGTATCTGGCCCAGGTCTGGTGGTAGAGGTTCCCCGGCTGACCCTTGAGCGACCCTCTCCCATTCACTGCCCCATTGGTCTTGAGCCAAGTGGGTGATGTCCAGGGACTGGCCAAGAGTGAGACAGGGCGCTGGGACATCCCTAGGGCTTGATGAATCAGGGGTATCTAGAAACAAAGGTGGTGAAGAGAGAGACACCCAGAGTTGGAACATAGACTGACTGGCCTGACCAGTGCATCAAGCCTAGTCTCCCGCCCTCCCACCCCCAGGACAAAACAGAAAGAACAGGGGCCAAGTTCTGTCTCTCTGCAGACTTCTCTGGCCTGAGGCTTTTCAAACACTGGGCATCAATGCCACCACAGCCTGAGGAAGCCAGAGTGCTCACCTTGAGCTTGACGTCCTCCTCTGAAAGGCTGAAGTTGTGCAACTGGAAGTCGTCAGGGGTGTCGGCATAGGTGTAGATGCGAATGGAGAAGTCACAGCTGGCCATGGGTACTCGAATGATGTTGTATTCAATTCCTGCACAAAATTCCAAGGTCTGGAAGTCTGAGTCAACAGAAGAACGTGGGACCTGGCCGACCACTTGTCAGTCCTAAACTATGTCTGTGCTCCTGCGTTGGAGCCTGAGGTGCCAGGCACCTGGGTGAAACACAGGCCTGAGCCTGTGAGTCCCTGACCACTCAGTGGCAGATGGGTAGGACAATCTTACTTATTTGAGCATTAAGAGAAGACCCAAATCTCAGGGATGGGTGGAAGTCAGGACCAAAGGACATATCAAAGTCATTGCACCACGTCATTTTGTCCCCTTCCTCCTCACCTTCTTCAGAGAAGTATGATTTGAGTAGCAAATTCTGGGCAGGTGGCGACAGGGCAAGGATATTGAGAGCAGCAGCATCTGTCATGGCCCCTCCAAATCCCTTCACTTTCTGAAACTTCTGATCCGGCTGCAGCGTCAGTAACAGCCCTGAGAACACAGGCAGGGAATCAAGGGTGTCGGTGCACAAGGGAGAAACCCTGTGACCACTGGCTTGAGTCAGCTCCGAAAGAAAGGACCCCAGCCTGGGTAGGGGTGGAGGGTGTAGTGGGTACCTGTGACTGTTTGGTTGGCCCGGATGGTCCCTAAACTCAGCTCCATTCGGCGCCCACTACGTGTGCTCTCATAGCGTGTGAAGGTGCCAGGGGCAGGCAGGGTCAGGGGATCAAGGGAATCACAGTACGTCGAATTGCAGACACAGACCACGGAGCTGTAGCCAAAGCTTTTAGGGCTGCAGGGGTGGGCGCCTGGGAGGGAGGGAGAGGCAAGGCAAGGCTTGAATGATGAAGCTGGGGGATGACACACTGGTCAGGAGAGACTGAACATGGGTTTCAAAATCCTCTCCTTGGACCGCCACCTCCAGTTCGTTTCAGTCACTCAAAAGCATTTGTTGAGCAACTACTGAAGTCCGCCACCAGTCTGCCAGAAGGACACTAAAGTACCACGAGGCAGAAGGGAGCCTTGGTGCTCTCTCCTCCTTGACTCACTCACCTGATGCCCAAGAAACTGCCTGAAGTAGAAGCAGTCCTGTGAGTCCGCCAGCCAGGAAGCCTGTCCTGCCCAGGACCTTAGGACATTCCTGAGAACAGGATGAGGAGGGGATGGAAGGCAAGCCCCTCTCCATCCCTCAACTATTCTGGGCAACCTAGTCTCCCACCTTTATTTATTTATTTTTAATAAATAAGATGGAAATGGGAGGGGGAGAGAGAGGGAGAGAAATATCAATGTTTGGTTGCCTCTTGCACACCCCCTCCCGAGGACCCAGCCAGAAACACAGGCATGTACCCTGACTGGGAATCGAACTGGCGCTCCTCTGGTTCACAGGCCACTGTAGCTCAATCCACTGAGCTACACCAGCCAGAGCTCCCACCTTTCATAGGGATAGAACAGGCCCTCTGCTAGTAACAGCCTTCCCTCTAAGTGCTCTGTTAGTGATAGTCTCTGTCCACCCCACCAGGACCCTCCTCCTCCCCTCTTCCCACCCGTTTCTCCCTTGACCTGTCCCTCCATAAAATTCCATGATGGCCTGAGTTCGAGGAGAATTTGTCATTCATTGAATTCCAGAACCTGGATGGCTAGGATTCCAGAAGCAGAGATCAGTATGGAGCTCTGGCCCACTCACCTCTCTGGAAAGACTTGAAAGATCCATCACTGGATGCGAAGACTACAAGGTTCCCAAGCTTCAAAGGAGACAGGGAGTCCACTAAATGAAAACAGGGATTCAAGTACCTGGGTAGCTGCAGACGGGATTAGTCGTGATGGTTAATTCCGGCATAATATAGTGAATGGGTCATGTGATGACTATGGGAGAGTCACATGATACAGGAAGTGAAGCAACTGCAACCATGTTTGTAAAGGGCTACTGGCTTCCTCCGCTGTTGGTAATTATACACCCTGTGAAAAACTCTGGAAGGCATGTGTGGATGACAACTTTAGGAAGAATCTAGATTAAAGATCTGAGTGGAGGACTGGGTAGAGGCTACCGAATTCCGGAGGATGGGAACCACAGTAGGCACATTGCTTTTTTGAGAAAGGATACTAATACTGATACTAATTTGAGACAGTAATACTAATAAAATTGGGACTAATAAAAGAGGTTCACTGCCCTGGCTGGTGTAGCTTGGTGGATTGAATGCCAGCCTGTGAACCAAAGGGTCGCAGCTGAGATTCCCAGTCAGGGCACATGCCTGGGTTGCAGGCCAGGTCCTCAGTTGGGGGTGTATGAGAGGCAACCACACATTGATGTTTCCTTCTTTTTCTCCCTCCCTTTGCCTCTCTCTGAAAGTAAATAAATAAAATCTAAAAAAATAAAATAAAAGAGGTTCACTATGCAAAATAGTGTAGCCCAAATACTGGGAGATGTTTAAAACAATCTTTGCCTATAGAGGCTCATGAAGCAGGGAAGTCAGATACTTAGACAGTTACAGGTAAAGACAAACCAGTAATGAGTGTGCAAGGAGGGGCCCTCCATGGTAAGGAGCTATCCTGGAAGGCTTCACGGAGGAGAAGGGTCAGGGATCATTAACCAGGGAAGTGCAGGGAGGATGGGCCCTGGGCAGAGAGAGGAATGGCAAGATTGGGGAGAGGAAGTCCTCAGCGCTGCATTTTGCCAGGCCTCCCTTGTTTCATCATCAGGTAGGTCCAGGTTGTATTAACTGCTTTTCCTTTCTCACAGGGCAGGGAGGTTATGTAAAGTAGTTCAGAAACTGGAAAGTGCTGTATAAGCTGTGCGCTCAGAGGATGTGAGAAGCAAGTAAGGGGGTTGTCTGTGATGTTGCAACCACATAACAAATGATTTAGTGGGAGAGACACAGTTACGGCTGCACCAACTCCAGCCCTCCAAGCCCATTTTCTAACTGGTAAAATGGAGGCCACACCATCACTTCTCAGGGTCATTACTGGAATCAGTGAGATATATGCATGCCTGGCACACAGGAGGTGTGGTAACTGCTTGTTGTGTCTTTTTAAAATGATCTCAGTCAAGTCTTTCTAGACACACTCCAGGCAAAATTGATCTTTTCTTGTTCTAGATTCCTATGGCTATTTGACCTTCAATAAATGACTTAATCACTCTAGCCTCTCTTTCTCATCTATAAAAGGGAAATGATAGCTCCTACCTCATAGAGTTGTTGTGAGGTGTTTTTTTAAAGATTTTATTTATTTATTTTTAGAGAGAGGGGAAGAGAGGGAGAAAGAGAGAGAGAGAAACATCAATGTGTGGTTGCCTCTCGAGTGGCCCCACTGGGGACCTGGCCCGCAACGTAGGCATGTGCCCTGATTGGGAATCACACCGGCAACCCTTTCGTTCACAGGCCAGCACGCAATCCATTGAGCCACACCGGCCAGGGTGTTGTGAGGTTTAAGTACCATAGTATGTGTGGCTAGTATGCTACTGGGCATCAGATTCTGTAATAAGTTAAGTCTTTATGAAGTTCAGTAAAGGAATGTCTTACTCATTCTGTGTAGATGTCCTGACAAGGAGTGAACAGGTGGCAAATTGTTGAACCAAACTGAACCCTCATCACTATGTCAGTACCCGTGCCATTCAGACTTCCTGTTTTCCCAGGAAGTATCGTGCAGGCTCATTCTTGGGAGGAGGACAGGTGATACCTATACCATACTTCCTTCTAGTTTATTCATTCAAATATTCATTAAGCATATAATACATTTGCCCCTGCCTGCTCTGTTGGGTTTAGGGCCCCCTCCCCTCCCCTTTTCACTCTGTAAGAAAAGTGTTTGTGAGTCTCTTATTTTTCCTTTCCATTTTTCAGTTTAAAAATCTTCCAGTTGATACCACCACATCCTACAGATTTCTCTCACCACATTATTTGCCCTTGAACTTTTATATTTCACTTTTGAAATAAAGTTGGTTATAATAAGGGCTAATGCTTATTTTTTTTAATTTTACTTATTCATTATAGAGAGAAGGGGAGGGGAAAGACAGAGAGGGAGAAAGAGAATTTGTTGTTCCACTTATTTATGCATTCGTTGGTTAAATTTTTTACAGATTTTATTTATTTATTTTTAATTTTAATTATTTTATTTTATTGATTATGCCATTACAGTTGTTCTACTCCCACCCTTCATTCCCCTCCACCCTGCATCCCCCACCCCTACCATTCCCCCCTTTACTTTATGACCATGTGTCTCAAGTTCTTTAGATTCTATATTTCCCATACTATTCTTGCCCTCCTCCTATCTATTTTCTGCCTACCGTCTATGCTACTTATTTTCTGTACCTTCTCCCCCCTTCTCCTCCTCCCACTCCCCTGTTGCTAACCCTCCATGTGATCTTCATTTCTATGGTTCTGCTCCTGATCCAGCTGTCCTTTTAGCTTGCTTTTGTTTTAAATGTGGTTGTTAATAACTGTGCTTTTGCTGTCCTTTCACTGTTTGTATTTTTTTATCTTCTTTTTCTTAGAGAAGTCTCTTTAACATTTCATATAATAAGGACTTGGTGATGATGAACTCCTTGAATTTGATCTTATCTGAGAAGCACTTTATCTGTCCTTCCATTCTAAATGAAAGTTTTGCTGGATAGAGCAATCTTGGTTGTAGGTCTTTGGATTTCATGACTTGGAATACTTCTTTCCAGCCCTTTCTTGCCTGTAAGGTCTCTTTTGAGAAATCAGCTGACAGTCTGATGGGAACTCCTTTGTAGGTGACTGTCCCCTTAGCTCTTGCTGCTTCTAGGATTCTCTCTTTCATTTTAATCTTGGCTAATGTAATGATGATGTGCCTTGGTGTGTTTCTTCTTGGGTCCAACTTCTTGGGGACTCTCTGAGCTTCCTGGATTTCCTGGAAGTCTATTTCCTGTGCCACATTGGGGAAATTCTCCTTTACTATTTGTTCAAATAAGTTTTCCACTGGTGGCTCTTCCTTTTCACCTTCTGGTACCCCTATAATTTGGATGTTGGAGTGTTTAAAGATGTCCTGGAGGTTCCTAAGCCTCTCCTCAGTTTTTTGAATTCTTGTTTCTTCATTCTTTTCTGTCTGGTCATTTTTATCCTCCTTCTGGTCCACTCCTTTGATTTGAGTCCCAGTTTCCTTTCCATTACTATTGGTTTCCTGTGCATTGCCATTTATTTCAATTAGTTTAGTCTTCATATGTTCCTCTAATTTGTGACTAAAATCAACCAGTTCTGTGAGCATCCTGATCACCAGTGTTTTGAACTGTGCATCTGAAAGTTTGGCTGTTTCTTGGTCACTTAGATTTATGGGCTCTGGGGCTTTGAGATCTTCTTGAGCCATTTTTGGTCTGTTCTCGCCCATCAAGTATGAGGAACGGAGCCTTAGGGGCGGGGCGGAGCCTTCAGGGCGGGGTCGCTGGGTTGTGATGCTGTATGAGGTGGCAGGGTCAGAGTGGGGAAATGGTGTCCCCCTCTCCTGCTTCCTGACACTGGGTGAGGAGCGAAGCCTGAGGTGTTCACCAGGGTAAGGTCGCTCAGGTTGCTGGGTTGTGATGCTGTATGTGGGGGCTGTGTCAGAGCTGGGAAATGGCGGCCCTCTCTGCTGCCTCCCGTCCCTGGGACCCGCTCAGTCCCATCTCACTGCCCATTCCCTCGCCGGTCTATCTTCATAGGAACGTGCCAGCACAGTCAACCTGCTGCCCTTCACCCTCGCCGGATCTGCCGGTTGCTCACTGGGTTGCCCCTTTGCAACCCCACGCCTGGCATCGGCGCACCTGAGTCCGTCTGACCGAGTTTTCCTGTGCAACCCTGCTCTGCCAGCTGCTGGTTTCACCCCTCTTACCGGTCAGGCTGAAGAATTCGTTGTTATCAGACTTCCAAAAAGGTCAATTTTCTGTGTTCTGGCTGTGTTGTCTGTTGCTAATATTTTGTTGTCTCTAAACTTGGTTGTGTGAGAAAGCACGATATCTCCACCTATGCCTCCATCTTGGCAGAAGTCCTCTATTTATTTTTTAGAGAGAGGGGAAGGGAAGGAGAAAGAGGGAATGAAACATCAATGTGTGGTTGCTTCTGGCACCCCCCTACTGGGGACCTGGCCCAAAACCCAGGCATGTGCCCTGACTAGGAATCAAACCAGTGACCCTTTGGTTCACACACCCATGCTCAATCCACTAAGCTGCACCAGCCAGGCCTCCATTGGTTAATTCTGGTATGTGCCCTGACCAGGGATCAAACCCACAAACTTGGTGTATAAGGATGATGCTCTAACCAACTGAGCTACCTGCCAGGGCAGGGCTAATGTTTACTGAATACATATTCTATGCTACTTGTGTGCATTAAACCCTTACCTCACTCTCATTTCATTCTCACAAGGCAGAGAGTATTATTTCCCCCATTTTAGAGATGAGAAACCTAAGGACTTTGAAAGGTAACTAAATTGCCCAGTGTCCCTTGGCTGCTCAGTGGTGGAAACTGGATTCATACCCAGAGTCCTGTGACACACATCATATATGTAAAGAGTGCCTCTGGTGTGCCAAAAACTCTGTGAAGTGCTGGTTATTTTCAAAAGCTGCAGTGTTGATTTACAGTGCTTGTTTTTTATTGTTTTAAAATTGTTCCTTATTTTTACAGATGGTTCTACCTGTCCAAGGTGAAGGCCAAGTTGGATTTTGAAGTGTTGGCTACCTGGCAACATTTCTGGATCTGTGTCCTCCAAAGGCATCAGTCAAGGGACATCACTTCAATAATGAAACAAAATCCAGAACTCTCAAGTTGGCTAATAATGCTTGATTTCACACTGGCAGGGGAGATGCCATGATCACAAAGGTGGTTTTCCTGGAGCGGGGCTGATCCATTGCACTCCAGATGTGCCGACTCCTGTGATTTTCCCAAATGTGGGAAACTCGACTGCATAAGTTGTGGCAGTGGGGGACTGTGTTCGCACTTTTCTCTGGGGAAAAAAGAAAAACCAACACTTGATTTCCGATAGGGAGGGGCGACTCAGCTTCTGTCTCTAGCTCCACTCTCCCCATCCTGGAGATCTCAGCCCCACAGCATCACACCCCCTCTCCATTACAGGTATTTCCTAACATACTCCTTACTATCTTGAAATGAATCGGCAAACAAGGAATACGATTCAGGGCTGTTGTATTTTTAACAGATGGTGCTGAGACAACTGGACATGTAAATGAAAAAAGATAAACTTAGACCTTTACCTCACTCCATAATTAAAAATAAAGCAAATTAGCCCTCGCTGGTGTGGCTCAGTAGATTGAGTACTGGCCTGTGAACCAAAGGGTTGCCAGTTCGATTCCCAGTCAGGGCACATGCCTGAGTTGCAGGCCAGGTCCTTGGTTAGGGGTGTATAAGAGCCAACTGATCAATGTTTCCCTCCCTTCCCTTCTCTTTAAAAAATATGTAAAGTCTGTTTTTAAAAATTAAAGCAAATTAGATCATAGACCTAAATGTAGGAGCTCAAACTAGAAAACTCCTGGAAAAAAGCATAGGAATACATCTTTATGGCCTTAGATTAAGCACTTGTTTTTTGTTTTTGTTTTTTCATTTTTTTAAAGCAATAACAAACATTTATTATCTCACCTAGTTTCTGTGGGTCACGAATTCAGGGGTGTCCAGATTTAGCTGGACAGCGCAGATTGGAGGTTTCTCATGAAACTGTGTCCAAGACATTGGCCAGGGCTACAGGCATCACCAGGCCTAACTGGGCTGAGGTTCTGCTTCCAAAATGCACCACTAACACAGGTGGTCAACTGGGACTGGCCATTGGCAGGAGGTCTCAGTTCCTCACATGTGGACCCCTTATAGGGCTGCTTGAGTGTCCTCACAACATGGCAAACGGCTTCCTTCACAGTGAGTGATTCAAGAGATAACAAGGCAGGCCTGGCTGGTATAGCTCAGTGAATTCAGCGAGGGCCTGTAAACCAAAGGATTGCAGTTTGATTCCCAGTCAGGGCACATGCCTGGGTTGCAGGCCAGTTCCCAGTGGGGGACACATGAGAGGCAACCATACATAGATATTTCTCTCCCTCTCTCCTTCCCTTCTCCTCTCTGAAAATAAATAAATAAAATATTTTTTTTAAAGGGAGAACAAGGCAAAAGCCACCATGTCCTAGCCTCAGGAGTCACACATCATCATTTCCATACTATCCTATTGGTTATGCAGGTCTTTCCCGTAAATGTGGTGGGGGGACTAAACAAAGGTGTGAACAGTAGGTGGTAGGGATCATTTGGGGCCAGGAGAAGGCAATCTACCACAGTCCACCCTCTCAATAAGTCATGTCCCTCCCACATGTAAACAATCCTACCACCTGCCAAGGTACCCTAACAATCTCATTCTATTACAGTGAAAAGTACAGAATCTCACAGGCAATGGTTTCTTACAAACGATTCTAAAACACAAGTGACAGAAGAAAAAAAGATAAATTGGACTTCATCCCAAAAAAAGTGTTCGTGCTTCAAAGGATGCCATAAAAAAAACTAAAAAACAACCCTGGCTGGTGTGGCTCAGTGGATTGAGTGCCAGCCTGCAAACCAAAGGGTTGCTGGTTCTATTCCCAATTAGGGCGCATGCCTGGGTTGTGGGTCAGGTCCCCAGTGAGGGGCAGTCAAGTGGCAACCACACATTGATGTTTCTCTCTTTCTCCCTCTCTTCCCCTCTCTCTAATAATAAATAAATAAAACCTTTTTTAAAATTTTATTTATTTTTTAGAGAGGGAAAAAGAGGGAGAAAGAGAAAGAGAGAATCATCAACCTGTGGTTGCCTCTCACGTGCTCTGTACTAGGGACCTGGCCCCCAACCCAGGCATGTGCTCTGACTGGGAATCAAACCAGCAGCCCTTTGGGTCACAGGCCAGTACTGAACACACAGAGCCACACCAGCCAGGGCCTGTTGCACAATTCTTTTTTTTTAATTCTTTTAAAAATATATATTTTATTAATTATGCCATTACAGTTGTCCCATTTCCCCCTCTTCATTCACCGCACCCTGCACATCCCTCCCCCACCATTCCCACTTTAGCTCATGTCCATGTGTCATAAGTTCTTTAGCTTCTACATTTCCCATACTATTCTTGCCCTCCCCCCTATTTTCTACCTACCATCTATGCACTTATTCTCTGTACTTTCTCCCCCCTGCTCTTCCTCCCACTCCCCTGTTGCTAAACCTCTTTGTGATCTCCATTTCTATGGTTCTGCTACTGATCTAGCTGTCCTCTTAGTTTGCTTTTGTTTTAGGTGTGGTTGTAAATAACTGTGAGTTTGCTGTCCTTTTACTTTTCATATTTTGTTTGTTTGTTTTTGTTTTTTTAATTTTTATTTTATTGATGATGCCATTACAGTTCTATTCCCCCCTTCATTTCCCTCCACCCTGCACACCCCCTACCCCACCATTCCCCTCCTTTAGTTTATGACCACGTGTCTTACATTCTTTAGATTCTATATTTCCCCTACTATTCTTGCCCTCCCCCTATCTATTTTCTACCTACTGTCTATGCTACTTATTTTCTGTACCTTCTCCTCCTCCCACTCCCCTGTTGCTAACCCTCCATGAGATCTTCATTTCTATGGTTCTGCTCCTGATCTAGCTGTCCTTTTAGTTTGCTTTTGTTTTAGGTGTGGTTGTTAATAATAAGTGTGAGTTTGCTGTCTTTTCACTGTTCGTATTTTTATCTTCCTTTTCTTAGATAAGTCCCTTTAACATTTCATATAATAAGGGCTTGGTGATGATGAACTCCTTGAACTTGACCTTGTCTGAGAAGCACTTTATCTGCCCTTCCATTCTAAATGAAAGTTTTGCTGGATAGAGCAATCTTGGATGTAGGTTTTTGGATCTCATGACTTGGAATACTTCTTTCCAGCCCCTTCTTGCCTGTAAGGTCTCTTTTGAGAAATCAGCTGACAGTCTGATGGGAACTCCTTTGTAGGTGACTGTCCCCTTCTCTCATGCTGCTTCTAGGACTCTCTCCTTCATTTTAATCTTGGCTAATGTAATTATGAAGTGGCTTGCTGTGTTCCTTCTTGGGTCCAACTTCTTTGGGACTCTCTGAGCTTCCTGGACTTCCTGGAAGTCTATTTCCTGTGCCAGATTGGGGAAGTTCTCCTTTATTATTTGTTCAGATAAGCTTTCCACTCATGGCTGTTCCTCTTCCCCTTCTGGTACCCCTATAATTTGGATGTTGGAGCGTTTAAAGATGTCCTGGAGGTTCCTAAGGCTCTCCTCATTTTTTTTTTGAATTCTTGTTTCTTCATCCTTTTCTGTCTGGTCATTTTTTTCTTCCTTCTGGTCCACTCCCTTGATTTGAGTCCCAGTTTCCTTCCCATCACTATTGGTTCCCTGTGCATTTTGCTTCCTTTCAATTAGTTTAGCCTTCATATGTTCCTCTAATTTGTGACTAAAATCAACCAGTTCTGTGAGCATCCTGATCACCAGTGTTTTTGAACTGTGTATCTGAAAGTTTGGCTATTTCTTGGACGCTTAGAATTATTGGCTCTGGGGCTTTGAGCTGTTCTTATTGAGCCATAATGTTTTGCTCTGTTCGCACCTGTTACATATGAGGGGCGGAGCCTTAGGTGTTCACCAGGGCGGGGCAACCCAGGTTGCTGGGTTGTGAGGCTGTATGTGGGGGCGGGGTCGGAAAGGAAGCCGTGGCGTTTTTTCGACTCTCTCTTGGATTTTGGTCCCCTCTGCCACTTCCCACAAGAAAATCGGGCCCTTCTGGTGCTTGTTTCTGGGTGTGTGGGCTTGTGTATGCTCTAGGACCCTGTGGGTCTCCCCAGAGACTTTTCCCGTGAGGCTGGGAGCCTCTCCCGGGCACCTCAACCCCCAAAAGTTTTTCCAATCAGTGTTTTTAGGCTTTAATTTCTATTGCTGGGGCTCTGGTTTGCACAGTCTGTCTCACTGCTCGTTTTTTTGCCTGGTTTATCTGAGCATGAATGTGTGACCGCGGCCAGCCAGCCGCCTTGCGCCCTCTCTGGGTCTGCCCATTGCCACCCCACACCTGGGTGTGGGGTACCACCCACACAACCGCTGCCTGTGTGCCTGGATCCATCCAGCGGCTTTTTCCTGTGCGACCCCTCTCCACCAGCCGCTGACTCCACCCCTCTTACTGGTCTGGATGAATGGTTTGTTGTTGGTGGACTCCGGTACAGTTCAATTTTCTGTGTGTTTTGGTTGTGTTTTTGTTTCTAAACCTTTGTTGTCCTTAAACTTGGTTGTGTGAGGAGGTACAGTATTTCCACCTACGCCTCCATCTTGGCCAGAAGTCCTGTTGCACGGTTTTAAGACTTAGCTAAACACCAAGGGAGGACAACTGGGCAATAAATAGTAGCAAAAGCAGGAGTCGAGAAATAGTTGGCAGAATTCTGATCCCACTTCTGCCGGCCCTTTGCCGTGCTGTAGGCCTGGCTCAGACAGCAAATTCTTGCCCTGGAGACAGGCTCCTTGCTCTTTAGGCCTCAGACCAACTCTCCAAGGAGGATGACCCTCTCAGTCCCACTGGTACCTTCATGGTCAAGTCAAAGAGATACTTTCTTATCCCATGCACAACAGAGAGTTGGTGCTCAAAAATACTTACTAAATCAATGAATGAATTAACCTTACCAATCAACCTAGAACCTGTCCTTTCTGTTCTGGTTTCTGATCTGAAGACACACCCCTCCTCCTGATTACTGACACCAAAAAAGGACATCTTTCTCCAGTGTGCCTAGACCTTTTCTGTCCCTTAGGGCGTGGCTTCACCCTTGAATTCATCTGATTAAGCAACTCTTTTTCAACTTTATTGAGATATAATTGACATATAACACTGTAAGTTTAAGGTATGTGTTGTGATGATGTGATCTATGTATATACTACACAATGATGACCACTATAAAGTTAGTTTGATTAAACAACTCTTTTTTTTTTTTAGATTTTATTTATTTATTTTTAGAGAGGGGAAGGGAGGGGGAAAGAGGGAGAGAAACATCAATGTGTGGTTGCCTCTCACATGTCTCCTACCGGGACCTGGCCTGCAACCCAGGCATATGCCCTAAATGGGAATTGAACCAGCAGCCCTCTGGTTCACAGGCAACTCTCAAACAACTGAGCCACACCAGCCAGGGCTAAACAACTCTTCAACAATAACCGTAGCATTCATTGTAAAGCTCAGTGCACAAGGAAAGTACCTATACCTCATGTGCTGTCCTATATTTTTTTCTCAAGATATCAGCCAGTCTCT